TTGCTTTCCGAAAACCCCATTTCAATACAAGGCCATCCATCTGAGATATTTAGTGTTACCTCAAATCGTGATCATACTGTATATATAACGCCGTGTTGCCTAACCATTTACTCGGATATATACTTACGGTTTTTGTTACATATTCTTTCTATACCTGAATTAGAAGTAGAAAGGGTAGATTTTGCATTTCTYAATGTGTAGAATATATAAATAATCATGTAAATGTATGTTATTTACAACTATTGTCAAGGTGTTTCGTAAAAAAAAAATATACCCCCCGCCAACGACCAAACACCACTCAGACTTAATAAGGTCATGATTATTACATTTACATAGGTCGATTACGTAATACTACAGGGGAAAAAGCATCTATGTTGGAGGTAGAGGTAGGTACCGAAAGTGAATATGAGCGAGCTTGTAGTCATATTGTTCATTGGTGCTAAAATTAAAAATCTGCGCGTTTGGTTCGTTACGAATACTCATTATTATTAGTCATATATGTATAGTTTGTAACATGTAAAAACTATATCATATTAAATTACACAACAGTACCTATATGCCTATTTTCTGTTGGCCACTCACAAGTACAAGTTTAATTAAATTTATTGTAATTTTCTTTTAATCTATTTACATTATATTATTACAATGAGTTGTAACAGTTTTTGTTTTATTTTTTAGATGCCTGCGAAATGACATGTGTTAGCTGTATTATAAATTTAGATATTAATGAGGTGTGTCGCGTCATAAAACTCGTTTCGAACCACTGATCTTCCTCATTATATAAACGAATTATAATACATTTGGATTTCAGAAGTACAAAACGAGCACCGAATAAAATATACTTTCCCATATATTTCATGTTTCAGTAAACTGCAGCTACAGTATTATACCCAGCTAATAAAAAATATATTTTTATGTCCATTGTTCACTACAGCTGTGTATGTGTCACATGAATTTCATTGTTATGGGTACCTAACTAACAATAATTTTACCAATTATTGCTTTTATAAAACAAATACAGTACATTATTTTTGGGTTATTTATAGGTGTTACAGTATTATGTTGCTAACAAATGATGATACATACGGTTTTATTGACTCTAAACAATTTTTATCTTTTATTATATAAACTACGAAATATAATAGTATAGGTACTAGGTATACATATATATAAACACAAGCACCTATATTTTTAATCAGTCAGTGTTTATCACACATTCRCGTGTTGTTTGATGTTTTAATTGTTGTACTGTTAATTATCATTGTCATTGAGCATAATGCAAAAATTGATAATTATACAAACTGTACAATATGTTTATATTTATACCCSATGGTAATTTTTATTTGATCAGGAAATAGATTATCGCACACGAGTGCATTAAATTTTAAATTTTAAACATATAATAATAATTATAAGCCACGTATAGAAAACCTGTTAACAGAAAATCGATGTAAAGAAAAAAYAACATTTTTTTCACTTTTTAATTTTTACTTTTTAGTTGTGAATTCATAAATATATAAACTGTGTAATCACTAATCACCTATGGTGGTGATTTGTCCACACAGAGGATCCCCTTATATAAGACCTTAATATCATTTTGGAAAACGATCGCCTGATCGGTGCCTATTTACAATTTGCAATGCACACCTGCATTTTTCAGCACTGTTAGCAATAATTAATAAGATTAATAGCCTATTTTATTTTACTGTTCTTATTAAGATTAATACATSTTAGCCGTTAGGTATATCGTCGCATTACCTTTTACTATAACAGTATAACATAACCACAACGTAGGAAGTTGATTTCTACATAACTTTATACCTTTTAAATATATTTTAAATTTATATAAATCTAACGTACGATATAACTACTTAAATTTTAATTATATACCTACTTTCCGCATAGGTACTTCGTGTATGATTAGTATACCTTTATAATATTTAGTTTAATGTAATACTTTAAACAATTTAAATAATCAACTATACTTAACGAATTATCAAATATTTACTTTGACAGTTAATACGTGTGCACTGTGGCGAATTATGATTTTTCATATCTGGGGCATGATTTATATGGCAACCAGGCGTGTGAGCTAAATAGCCCCCACCAAAATAATTTATAATTTTGGCACTATATATTTACTTTTGTCTATGGTATATGGATCTTAATAATAATTTAAATAGATTAGATAGATAAGTTATATACATAATACATCATGCATTATTTTGAATAATTAATTGTGATCTATTAATTAATAGTTAATAATATACTATATAATTAATATATTTAAATTTACGACTATCGCCAAATCCTTTATGCGGTACTATACCTACACATTATCGGTTGGTAAAAAATAAAAATAGGTCTAAAATATATTATAATATACATGTTTTTTTTAAAGGGAAACGGAATTACAACAAATTATCATCCCATCACATTAACAACCGTATAGGTGCATCGATTAACCTTATTTGGAGATACCACTGTGTACGATATCATAATTCAATACGATTTAAGATTTTAAGATTTTTCATGATTTCTATGTTTAAAAACAATACTAAATTGTGAAAATTGGCGTTTCATTGTTACATTTTATTATTCTGGGAAAACAGTTTTCCTTAATGGGGGCCTCTCAAATAATAAATAATAATAATAATAAAATCTGATGAACCAGCAAACATTAAAACTGCTAAGGTATATAATATATATTATATTTTATATTGTAGTTGATTATACAATCAGTACGAATATAATAAATGCAAATCCAAAAAAAAAAAATGTTTGATTACATAATTTTAGAAATTTAAAGTGTCAATAATCAGCATAATATATAATACACAGAAATTAATGTAAGCGGAGTGGTTAGAGATTCAAAATCCCTCAAAATTTTCGATGAAATCGAATATGTATATTATTAATTATATATTAGTATAGATTGTGATTTACAAGCCTCTTGCAAAATTTATTCCAAGAAGTGTCTGCATTTAAATTAAGTCTTAATTTTTATTCTCACGACTTGTAAATTCCGATCATCTCATTGGTGCATATTATTGCTATTAATTGATAATATGTAACCGAAAATTTTTTTTCAAAGCATAATATCATCATTAGGCACAATAGGTATTATACCGTATAGTAGGTAGGTACATACCATATATGTTATCATTTGTCATGTGGAATGCCCACTACGCAGGTACATTGACATTAGCTACTGGTACGAAATTTAATAACCGGACGAGTTATATATCTAAATACCAAAAAACGTAAATTATAATAATACCCAGCAATTATTAAGACAAATAATAATGATAACTGTGAATCACACCGTGCAGAGAGTAGGTAGGAACTTTTCATACTCACATTAGTCACAATGTATACATATTATTATTATAATATGTGTAGGTATACAAATCTATTATGGACGGGCGAGACACGACGGGAGCGGCGCAGCGGTCTTCGCGAATTAGTCATGTCGTTACATCCGTTAGGTGGTTTTGTTTCTCGGCGCAACGGTTCCGGGTTTTCGAAAACGACCGGTAGGCGGTAACTCGCCGCTTCGTTGACACTAAAAACAATATTCGCTAAAAATCGCAACAAAGTACGCATAATAATAATAATAATAATAATAATATATTGTGCTCATCATATACTTATTATTATATTAAATACTGTCGACACATACTCATTTACGTCTACTTTATCCACATGTATGATATGATATGATATAATACATACAGTGAATGCCACTTATAAGACTCACTTTGTGCTGATCTCAAAGTGAGCCTTATAACCGAATGAATATTTTAGGCGAAGTGGAAAAAAAACCATATGCTTATGGATTTTCTTTTATTGCATATATCTAATATTTATCTTGGACTCCTTTTGTATGCATATAATTAATAAGTGTATTAACAATATAATGTTAATAATAAAAATAATAATAGTATTGTATTTATAATATGTATAATTTTATGCATATTATAGTATATGATGACACATTACTTATTATATTATATTATATATAAATAAATAAATCATGATTAAAAATATTGTACATACACGAAAATTATAAAGCTTGAATCAAAACCACAATAATCGACAAAAATGTATTATCTTTGAAAACAAATTTATTTCTAAATTTCAACCAAAAATKATTGTTTTCTCGTTCCAGACGATTTTTAGACTATAATTAAGCGACTAAATCTCATTACATCCGAGAGAGTCTTTCARAGCGGCATCTTTCACTGTAGKTCTGTATACATGTTTGATAATTTAATAYTGGCTTGAACTTTTTACGGCTGTTGTATATTATTATTATTATTATGTGACCGTTAATGATGCATTTAAATTGACGGGCTTTAGATCGCCAATCAACTCGGGTGGTATAGTTATAGACGCACATATATAAATAATAATGCTTTTCAGCCTATACACAATKCGGTTAATTGTGTTTTGATATACGATTGATGAATTCAAAATATCATGACTGACATGCGCATTAACGATTGCATATTATAATAAATTAAACGCGGTGCAGCTAAATGCGTTCTCCACCTAGCCACCTCCTCTATACAACGTGTATGCAACAGTAACAGATAATTATAATGGCGTAGGTGCGCGCACAATAGGTACCGTTATACACCTTTATGCGTGTACCAAATCATGCTGCATGAGTATGTTATGTACAGCAGCGACGCAGAGGTACTGCGCAACAATATCAAAACAACGCGTTATATAAATAACAATAATATGCGTATTGTGTGCGCCGTACGGTACAAGAGCGAAAAATAATAACAACAATAACGATGACGACGTAGGCGTCGTGTCGCTGTGTATAATAATAATGTATGTGTAAGTAAACGCAAAACGCTCGCCGCCGATGGACGGGGAAGGGGTGAAGGTTGCGGCCGCCGAGTGGAGGCGACAGCGGCGGCCGCGGCTGTCACGGTTCGCCAAGCAGCAGTGGCGACGGTGGCGCGTCGCCTTTGGTAGGAGAAGTCGAGGCCGAGGTTTCTTTCTCTCGCCGTGGCCCTCTCCCCTCCGCCGTTGAAGTAGTATTCGCAGGCGTCACGCGCGGTCGGCGGCCACTTCGATCATACCGACGGTGCGCGCAGTGGCGGCAGATTGTCCGCAGATCCGCTTTGCAGTGTTTCCCGTTGCAGATGTATATGTTTGTCGTTCCTTACGGACGTCGTTGGACCTAAGTAAACCAAAAGTGCATCGTCGTTATTGCAATAGTGCGGACCGCTGCTCCTCGTCACATTGTCTGCAGTCACCGTGACTCTGTGGCCAGACCGTCGAGGAGCCATAGGTACCACCAACATAGATGGCCGCCACATCAGTAGCAACTTGCGTAAAAAAGGATTTTGGCTGATGACCACTCACAACCGGTGACGACCATCACGATGGCCGCAGCCGTGGCGACCACCACTCCTCCAACGACTGACAATCGGTGCGTCGGTGGTGGCGAATCGTCGGTGGCGACCATGCGACATCAGACGGTCGTACCGCTGCCGTCAAGTGACATTCCGGCCCTGACGTCTTCGGGACGGCGGCAGCGGCGGCGGCGGTTAGACGGGAACGACTCGAATCCACAGGTGTCTCGGAGTTCGACCAGTAGCTGCTCGTCGTCAACGGTGTCGTCATCGGACGACGACGGGGATGGCGACAACGACGGTGGCCACTCCGGCATGGATGGTGTGGAGGCCGAGTTCGGCGGACGTGGCGTAGTCGGCGTCCAGCCACCACCAGTGGCTGCAAAGCGGCTAAAAGATCTGCAGCAACACCTGGTCGACCTAGACGACCTGGAACTGCTAGACCGTCATCTGGCCGTCGAAAGTGCGCCCGGAAACTCACTTCACGATTCGGCGTTGGATGGCGGAGCGACCGGTATGGTGGCCGAAGAGCTCAGGCAAAAGAACAAGGACCTGGTGCTGGCCGCCCGTCTCGGCAAGGCCCTTTTGGCCAAAAACGATGAACTGTCGCTGATGAATGAGCGGCTGGCCGAAGAGTATGGCGACAAACTGGAGGTACATGACACATAAATTGTTACAATAATTATTAATCTACACGTACTTGGTAGACGTCAAATTCTAACTAAATTTTCCAATCTAACGTTGAACGCGGCAAAACGGTTTTGGGTCCACGGAGAGCTGTATATTTTAACTGTTTAGATAATTCAAATTAGTAATTGTTATAATATTATGTCGGTAAGTGAGAGCGAGTATATCCGTGGATTTAAATCTGTTTTGACCATGGGTTTAGAAGATCTCCGAAGACCGTGGTTTTAACCATGAATTACCAGTATTAGTTCATGGTTATAACGATACCACAATATAAACATTGAGTAATTATAATAATAATAATATTTTTTTTTTCTCATTGCCTGATGTCATCGTTCTTTTTCCTCTGGCGTTAGGAAATAGCCAGTCTTTTAATTTCTAAAATTTCCATATGTCATCATTTTCTATAACACCGAATCTAAAATCGACAACGCAGCGTATATTATCTGTCTTCCAATACCGCGAATAGACAAATTTTACATTGTTATTGCAGCATATGTATGAGTACTCGCGTGGCTCGCCAATTTTATCGAAGTAGGTACCTGGTAAACATTTTTCCATGACTTATCACTTCGTCGGCCATCGTATAGTTTTAACGACGGACTAGCAAACTTCAAATCGCTTCTTCCCCCCCCACCCGCTAGCTAAATCGCAACGCCGCATACAGCAAGCCCCGAGTGCCAAACTCACGAGCGCGAGACCGACGTCCGCCGACCGTGCGTACATCTGCAGCAGGAGCAGAGCCCCCGCGGCCGCGTGAACATAAAACCATCATCAACCCGACCGGCYACCGTACATAAACGCCTCTTCGCGCGTGGCCGCAGTGATGCCGTGTGGAAAACAGTGTTCTCCGGCTCGGCGATTCGGTATACAAGCGCAACGATTCTATCTACCGCGTTTATTATACCTGTAGGATCTCTATACGCGTATACAAGACAATGCGTAAATCGTTTGGCAGCTGTTCGGCGGGTCGCGCGCTTATTGTTGCCGAGGCCGCCATTGTGCGCCGCCGTCACGCTCTCACTCTTCCGACTCGGCGGCGGCGGTGCTATTGTCGTCGTCGGCTGTCGTTTTACGTACCTATAGCCGGTTGGAGGTACCTATACTTGCGAATAGCCGCGAGTGAAAGCGCGTGTTACTCTCGTAGCCTCCCCGGTCCCCCGTACCTCCACCCCGCGTCGCTGTAACTATTGCAGCATCCGTTTTCGTCGCGCCGCATATACCTATATATATATAGGTGTTTAAGGTGTATGCGGGAACAACAATAATATTGTGCCTACTGGTGCAGACTCTTTGCAGCCCGAACATTACCGCGGTCGGGATCGTGCTGCTGCAGGATAATTATACGCATCTCACGAACTACATATTATCTTSCATTTTTTAATATTTAAAWATCACTCAAACGCAATAACAACGACAATGGTTGGTTTTATAATTTTCCGTTTCTTAGGAAATTCTGGAAATATTTTTGTGTCTATACACAAAAAACTCTGTATAGATTTTAACGAAAATGCTTTTGGACGTTTCCGGCGTGAATCCAATGTCATCAACAATAGTATTTGTCTTTGTACGCTGTGTCTGCAGCGTACACATAAAAAATTATAAAGTAAACCATAAAAGTAATACCATTGTAACTATTGTGYTCGTGATAATTGAATTTTAAGATCTGTGTATAGGACGTATAGGTACTGAAAATAATATATTTGTAAAATTTTAAACATTTTTATACTTCGCATATTTCTACAAATTATAATACATAGTTTATCTAAAATAGTCTATAACTATATAATGGCTCCCGTTTGAATAAACACAAATAAAATATTCGATTTTCGTGAGTCAAAACTAAATGCATGACCCAATAGCAGCTATAAACATGGGGGTTCAAGAAATAAGCAATATAAACACCCACCGAGAATTTCAAAAATCTGTTGATATAATATCTAACTCCTATATTTTAAAACGGTTCAGTAGTTTTCGAGTCAGCCAATATAGAGGACAAACAAAGAAACATTCATTTATATATAACTGTGTCTGCGTGTCATTGCGAATCGCGAAAAAAAAACATAATCAAACAATGCTGCGCGAGATTACGTACAGATATCTATAGGCCGTATCGCAACCCGCGCGAAACTACCTCTCCCTCACTCCCCCCCAACTGACGTTGTCGTGGACCAAGGTCTCGCAGCCGGAACGGCGCTATGCGTATAAACATAATAAAGTGTTTTGCTCGAGCAGGGCACACCACGGTTGTGGTATAACGTGGTTATATTATAGGTATATTTAGGCTGCCGTTTGAAGCACTCGAGGTCTGATGGAACGCCGCGGTGACCCGGGCGGCGGCGAAAGGGTACATTCAAATACCGTGACGTAATCTACTACAAGCACGATATACTTACATTACCGTTTGACGGCTATAAAACCATTAGCGGTGCACGTGTCCCTCGACAATGGTCTCGCACGACTTTTTTCGTACATAAATAAATAATAATAATAATAATCATATATTTTAACAGTCTGCGGGTTTTATATTTTTGAATACGATATCCGATCGTTTGCGGCGATGGCCGTAAAACGAAGTCACCAACTACGTGCCTACTCATTATGTAGGTACGTGTGCAAAAATATTAGCGATTTGTTTATGGATTAGGAAATTAGTCGCAATAAAATTGGTTTTTCCCTCTGGCCATTGGCCGTGTAGATCACCTTCGTTGCGTAGGTACACCATGTTTGTATAGTCAGTTTGCAGATGTATATAGCGGTCAGACATTTATTAATGTATGAATAATATATGGTGTTACACGGAGGCGTATCTGTAGCTCGGCCAAGGGAATGGCGAATTCAAATAAATTTATCATGTTATAATCCCACGTCCGATTGGCACTGACACAGAATTTACAGTATATTTTCGACAATAATGATATTCATGTTATAGAAAATAAACGAAGCTGGTTGAAAATATTATAATAACGGGTCTGATGATAATGCGTGGATTTTTAATTTTTATATCAACGATTCAATTTTTCTGGGTAGGAGTCTAGCTTATAAATAATTGTATTACCTATTCGAAAGTTGTATGGACTCCTATTGTCCTACTGACCATATACAATTAGGTTAATTTTTTCCTTTAGAAAAGTAATGTGTCAGAAGAATATGACGTACTTGAACTTGCGAATAATTGCAGCAATTTTAGGCGGACAGGTTGTATGGCAGACTAATGTTAATTTAACTGATCATGATGATTATCGATTTATTCAAAAACATATTATTTCTATACATTCATGAAAACATTAATCGCGTGTATATGAATCATATATGGTAATAGATGTAGAAATATTGAAGGAAATTCAACTTATTTAAAATTGAAAGTTTTTTTATTAATTATTAATTTTAAACCATTTATTATGAATTTATAAATGTATAATATAATATTGTTTATTATAATCAACAACCAATAATGGTTTAAACTTGTAAATATACCTCGGATATGACAATCAATCAATACCGTCGAGTCTCGAGTGCCATGATGAATATTGGGTTGGGCAACATCATGAGACACTTATTGATACTTTTAGATATAGTCATGACTCACGAATCGTTTAATATGTATTATTATAATATTATTAAATATTATTATGGCTCATGACTCATATTGAATCTTAGATTCGAATATATTTTTTCTCGAATGTGATATAATTTATGCGAATTCACGTTACATCCTTATTTCCTCATCAATCTATATGTTTGCGATTTGCATAATATTATTCTTATATGATATAATTATACCTCCTCAATAAATAATGACGTACCTATTTTCAATAAAACCAAGACCCGCAGTCTAACAAATTAATTTATACATTGTATCATTTTTGTCGATATTTAACCACAATCTAGGAGATCGAACAGGACCGTCATCGATTGCGCAGACAGCTGGCGCAAGCCAGAGCCGAGTGTGAGCAACGGTGCCACGAGCTGCAGGCCGATCTCAAGGACCTGCAGGCGGTGCTCGACAGCCGGGAACGTCAACTGCGAGAGGCGGATAAACAGAAACGAGCCGTGGTCCGAGAGCTTACTGACCAGAATGGTAGACTGCAGTCGCACATCAGAGAGGTTCGTATTAAAAAAAAAAAGTTTCAAATATTATACACCGTACGCATTGTATAATAGTGTAAGATTTATATTATACGAGGTACTTTTTTGTCCGTTTAACATATAGTTATCGTTCTCAACACGTGGAAAAAACACTGTGGATTTTATATGTATTATGTATAGTTAATTCAGTAATTGGAATATAATTATGTAATGTTCGTCGCATAATATGTAGGACTAATGATTATATTATATGCAAGGCGATTCTTTAAATGGTAATCAATAATCACTTATCGGTTGTTTTCTCTAAAACTAACTAGTTGTAATTATTTAAAGTTTGAGCGGAGTGGAGTTGCACAAGGATACTCCGCAAAATATTAGTCCACACTATACYACTCTTCTAAACTATAACTATTAACTATATTATAGTTATCACTAATTAACTATAGTCGTTCAAAATTCAATTTTTATATTAWATTGTAATCATATCTAAAAAAAGTATTCTGTTACAGAAAAGTGTTARCGTCAACAAAAGTAAAAAYGCTTAATATTGATAACAAGAAACATTTTAARTAGTACAAATGTTTTTTAATGACTTTAAATTACCAAGGTGCTTATCTAAATAAAAAATGATTTATGACGTTAAATCATTTTGAGAAAATCAGTGTTTATCTTTAAAAGAATACTTTGTATAATAAAATATATTGTACTATATGCCCAGATAAGCCCCATTTGTGAGGGTCGTTCCTGCCTCATTGAACGAGCGAGCATCAAATAATTTAGTCACTTGACAGATATAATATAATTGATTGATTAATATGGAACAAACAATATAATGACGATTGACAACTACAACTGCATGTATGTAACTATACTATATAGGGAGTATAATTCTATATTATATTATTTTATTAGATTCTGAGTTGATAATATCAATATTAATAATATTATATTTAATACTGATATTTCATACACATGACAAAATCGTCATAATATCTTAATCTTTTTTGAGCTATATGTCTGTATATGTATAGCCATTTTTTTCTCCATAATTGTCAATAACAATTTTTCGCCCGGTCAAAAACCTTGAAAATTGAATTCAAGGTAYTTCATAAAGATGTTTTTATAGCTATTTTAAAATTTAATACGAGATTAAGTTATTTCATAAGTTATTAAACTGAATTTAAAAAAAAATAGTTGAGCGTAATTCCATAAATATTTTTAAGAGTATCTGAAGTTCATATAAATGTCGATGAAATAGAATATTCACGCATAAATTAACAATTTCTCATCAAACAATTTTCTTATTTTGTTGAAATTTAAAAATATTTTTTGTGTAGACATGAAACTTTTTTATGTATACTTTACCTATTTATAACATACCATGTTACCAGTGGAAAATTAAATTACTAAAATAATTAATAGACAAAATAAATAATATATTATCAATATGATAATAGGCCATCTTCGCTTAGAATCGTTTTTCATATGCAATGATTTGTTGTGGAATTCAAATTAAACATATCTATTACAGTGACCTACTCAATTACGAGGTTCATTTGTCTCCTTTTGTACTGCAGAACGGTTACCTACTTTCCATCTCTTTTCTCTGTTATTATTATTATTATTTTATATAATATAATAGTTTTTTTTACTAATTGTAATGAAACAGTTATTATCAAAATAAATTAAAATCATCCAAATAAATACCTACATACCTAATTGATTACTTTAACTGAATAAAATGATGCCGAAGAAAAAATATAAAATAAGTAACTGGTGTTGAAATAAAATGAATATACTAGTTACTAATAAGTAATAGGTAGATATTTACACTTCTGTAAACGAATGTACTAACTAACTAACTTATTAAAATAAGCAGGGTACCTACTATAAGAACCTCCTGGGATCTTTAAATCATATAGGTCCACCGATCAACCCTGCAGCCGTCATGTATAAATAAACGCACACATTACAAACATAAATATAACTATCATACCTTCGTATTTATACCTAGGTACCTCGTATAATATCTCGTATTATATGTCGTATAAATATATAATATAATTTTACTTTTTGTGCACTGCAGCTTTCCCAAGCAGAAGCAGAGCTCCGGCACAAATGCCGTCTGCTGGAAGACGCGCAACAGCCGCAACATGGCAGCGGAAAATGGACAGGCATCGGAGGAGTCGGATCGCCCGCGTCCATCACCAACGGCGGTTCCACCACCGATTATGGGTCGCTAACACCCGACGATTACCGAAGTCTGGACGTGTTGCGTGATGAGGTAAATACTTAAATTATATTTTGTCCGTTTTACACTATATAATAAAATGATGATAAGTCATATGAAAATCAGCAATCGATCGTATCGATTCGTCTGTTTGATTTGCAGTCAGTTGTTGGTGATTAATCGATAAATCGGAATTTGGCCATTACACTAACGATTGCCTGTCAATGTTTAAATTAAATACATATTACATGTGCGTCATTACATTTTAATTATTATTCATAGTTCATAACCTAAAATTGTATGTAATATGTCATGATCGTTTTTGATGGCTTATTTTAATTAACTAATATTTTTAATATTTGTATAACTGAAATACAATGTTAGGATTTTATTTAAGCTATCGTGATTTTTTTATTATTAATAATAATGAAAATGACTAATCGAACATAGTCTTCCAATAATGTAAATGTAACTTAAAATATGCGCAGTGGTGTTTTATTTGAGTTTTGATATTTAAATATTTATGTAAATACTTTAATTTTGAATTCTTAAGTAGATGGTCTGCTTAATAAATTATTTTTGTTACCTATTAAAACTTTTATTTTATTTTTATATTGGCTACTATATAATATAGACGTCTATAATTATCATTAAGTTTAATAGAATAGTAAATCAATATATCGAGAAAAAGAACGTACCTATTGTTAATTAAAAGGCGGCTTAGTCCACAAAGCCCCTCCCCTATCTGCGCCTATAATAAGATTCCATTTACCTGTTAATAATTTTTGTTTATAACATTTTAAAAACATATGTTGTATTAATTAGTTAACAAAATAAATGTATGAACGGGAAAAAATAAAAAAATTAAATTAAATATAAAACATTGTTAAGGTTGAAATAAGAATAAATAATATATGAAAGACTTAGGACGATTCTTATAATGTCCTGTTAAATAACCGTTAACGGTAACCAACGGTTAGTAGGATTTTTAACAGTAGAATTCCGCTGGTTAAGTTTTCGTTAACTTTAACCGGATATTGTAAGAACCTACCTTAAACTAATTCTAAAAATAACCAATAACATTTTTTAACATAAATTTTAGAATGGCTAACATAGGGTTAAAATAGACTAGGCCACTTGACCTAAATAAATTACAAAAGATTTTCTAGAATATTTCATAGGAAGTTCATTTTACATTTTGCCTTCAAAAAATTACAATAATTACTTTTAATAAACCTTTTAAAATAAACAAAACGGCATTTTTTTATAGAAAAATTTAATTGGGAGAAAAAACATCTCCCAATAATTTTGTGTTGTAAATCCTTGTAAAGAACATCAATTATTTAAACAAACTGTATCTGTTACATACTGTAACTTATAGTATCTGTAATACGTAGAAATGCTTAATGTTCTATTAAATAAAAATAAAACACAGTGATAGACAAATGTTTGAGTTAAAAATCATTAGAAACAAGTTTTTAAATTTATTGCTATTAATTACTCTTTGGAATCGTTTATAATATTAATTGTCTTGTCCCTTGTKAATCTATGTAAGTTAGTAGCAAATAGCAATAAGCCTAAAATTATTAAAGAATAATTTGATAGAAGATATTTTCTTACAGCGTCGGTTTATGGGTTGGTTTTCTCAGATTTTTCGATAAGAGATAATACCAAATCCTCGTGAAAAGATACTTATTATAGTTATTAGTTATCATAATTACACCATATATACGAGTATATATATATATTATATTATGTATAAAACTTTAAAATAAAATAAATCTCTTTTAAAAATAAAAAATCTTTTGTTTGTTGAAGGTATTGTAAATATTAATTTATGTATATACTTTTTTCAAACTTATTAAGTTCTTATAAATCTCTTTTAAAAATATTATATACTAACACTGTTGAACAGTATCGACTAGATAATTTTGATGTGAAGAATAAAACAAACGAGTGGTAACTATTTCTAGATCGATATGAAAGCGGCCGAGAAACAACGGCTGCAGAAGAGGATGGCCGAATTGCGGGCAGATCGTGATCGGTTAGCTGAACTTCTCGAACTCAAGGATCGCCAGTTGGCCGAGTGCCGGGCCGAGGCAAACCATTACGAGCACAGAGTAAGTTTGACGGATGTTTATTCGTTAAATCGTATAATGATTTAGTTTTAAATTTGTAACTTAACTTATCCTTAAACAAGTATATAATATAACATGCAAACAAGGCTCTATGAATTTAAGCTTTAAAGCATTCCAAATTGTCGTGTTACTTGCATTATATCTTCATACTTCATTGAAATATTTAAGGTTTGGTCAAAGTTTTACATATAGCACTGCAAAATCTATTTGTATGTGTGCTTATTTGATTCTGAGCGGAGCAATGAATTGGTTGTACAATGATGTCTGTATTTTCTGGTAGAAAATTAGATCTAGTTGATACTAGTATACATGCATTAAATTCTAAAGCTTATTCTTCTCCAAGCAACATTTTTTTACCGATAGGTATTTATAGAAAAAAATATAGGTTTATTATTTGATTATAATTAATAAATAACTCAAAAAAAGTAAAACTATATCATTGTATAAAACATAAAAATAAAAAAGCTATTTTTTCAGATTTCAAATTTTTATGATAGTTCGATTTTGAATTATTAGTTATAACAATATTATAAAATCGTTTGATGATATGAAATCATCATTTACGCGTAGGTAAATATCCAATTTCGTCAAATTTTTAACATCAGTAATTAAATTTATAAAGAATCTTGATCTAAATTTTTTAGTTTTAGTATGAGTATTAAAAATATTAAGCGTTTTCAATTACAAAATAATTTGCTAATTTTTGCAATCTCACAAAATGAACCAAAATTCAATTTTAAACTTGTGCACAAAAAAATGTATTTTCGAGTTGCTGTAACTTGTAAGTGTTAAATTATCAAGCTTTTAACTCACATAGAAAATATGAATAATTAGGCGCCATTTGAAAATAGTTTGTAATTTTTGAAATTTTGATAAGAATTCTTATTTTATTGGAAAAGCAAAAACATTAAGTATAGGGGACCAAACCTTCCTGTGAATAATAATAGGTATATAAATTAAAAACTTACCAAAAAGAAATTGAAAATTAAAAACATCTAATTATCTAACCTTCTATTTTGCAAATGATCTATATAAATATAGTATTCTACAAGATACTGACCTGGTGAATATTTCAAATTTCTACAGTTTTATTAAATTTTGATTTAATGAATTACAACACAGCAAAATTGGTACAGGTTTTGAGCAAAAATTCCTGTTTTCTCTATTTTTTTAAAAATTTTTGTTGTTGTTTTTTCTTTAATATTTTCCTCTTTTCTTCCATTCTTGTTTTCCCTACCAACCATAACAATATAAAATAGATCTAATTTTTAATCAGGAAATACACGCATCACAATATCAACAATCAATACTTCGTTGCTCCGCTCATATTATACCGTAGGTATATGAACAATTAACAATAAACCGCATTTTTTATTACATTTTCAAGGTTATTGACTAGATGAATGTTTATTATTTTGACATTTATGGAAAAAAATATATACACATCGAATACCTATAAATAGTTCATCATATTATAATATTTGTTAAAATTTCAAGTATCAACGGTTATTTGTTTTTGACTTGCACCAAAATATCAAAATCGATGTTTTCAAAAACTGGTTTAGCGTAAACTATTTCAGTAATTTTGAAAAGCATTATTAAAATTTTTCTTTCGACCACCCGAAAAACCAACTTAATACAATTTATCATCAGCAAACACGCTTAATGTGAAAAATCAAAACATTTTATCTGATAAAAAAAAGTTTTTAGATAGGTAAAAATTTAACACACAGTATTTTAAAATCAATACATTTATCCAAGGTGGATTGATATCAATTGATATCAATTGATTCGTAAAAAATTTAAAATGCTGAAATATCAAAGAGAGTAAAAAACATTGAAATGCCGCAAAAACACGAAAATACTTTAATCACAAATAATTGTCTTATCTATATAAAGTTCGAGTATGTTCATTCATTTCACTCAAATAATTAATCTTAAAACATTATAATATTGGATCTACGCTGAACTCAAATTTGATACATATTGTGTATTGGTTAGAGAAAACAAATTGTGGGTGTTGAATGAGTTAACAATATTTTATGTTATGGTATATTGATATACCAAATATAAACAATTCATAAAACTAATAAAATATTTGTTATTTTTTCATAAAAAAATTTTAAATGGCCATGAAAAGTCTACATTTTGTTTTAATTGAAACTTGTTATAAAGTTCGATTTGTAGATAGAGTTTTTAATATTTGTGAGGACAATATTAATGTGATCAAAAGAAATCAAGCTAAATATCGGTCTTCAAAATATGATGAATTTATTTTAAATTGTACTTAAATCTCCACTATAATAATATATATATTATATATATAGTTACGGATATCTGTGATAAGAAAATTAGGTTTATTTAGACCGATTTATTGCAATTGCGATTGGTCATAGTTTTTTCCAATACTGTCATAGTAGCTATATCATTAGTCATTACAATTAATAAGTATATACTATATATATAATGCTCACATATTATATCAAAAACAGACAGGATATCCTATACATAAATATATATAGTAGGTACAATATGATACACTATAGCAGAGGTGGCCACTAACTTTTTTTTGGGAGCCGCAAATTTACGAAGCTATTTCGAAGTGAGCCATATTGTTAAGATAGGCAAACACGTTTTGAATTTTTTAACAAATAAAGGAAAATTCATTTTTACAGTACACAGAGCATTATTTTTCAGGTAGGTACACATTAAGAAATGATATTTTACTTTTGAAAAGTGCTTTTTATGTTATATGAATTAATTTTACTCTAAGGTTGGTGTCAAGAGCCACACGAGACTCCATCGGGAGCCGCATGGGGCTCGTGAGCCTCGTTGTGACCACCCCTGCACTATAATAGTCATGTGCTTGTAAAATATAAATAACCTACTTAATATCGTGTATGTTGTCCTATACAGTCAGCCATGTTGGCCAAGCAGTTGGACGACGCGCTCTGTTCGGGCGGCGCGGGGGACTGGAGAGGGCGAGGCGGGAAATGCGCCTCGTGCAACAACGCCGGCGGCGCGTTGGCAGCGTCCCGGACGAACGGCTCCGGCGGTACCGAATCGCAGCCGATGTCGCTGTTGGCCGAACTGGAACAAGCCGAAGCGGCCAGCACACAGATGGCCGCTTGTCCTCCGCCACCCATGGTCGACGTGGACCTGACGGAGCATCGGCCCAACGACCCCAACGATTTCGGGACGGACGCCGAGCGGTTAATGACCCGGCTGTGCGATGCACTCGAGCGACGGGCAGGCCAAGCGAACGCGGTGTCTCCGGAGTTGTCGGCCAGCACCAGGTACCGACTGCTGAAGCTGATGGGCTGCAGTGGAGACGGTAGCGCGGCAACTGGTGTCAAGTCCACAGGCGCYGTTGACCTGGCGGAGCTGGTTCGCAACCGAGACGGTCGGGTGGCCGAGCTCACTTGTGAGGTACGTTCGAGACATTCGATTACAGGTACAGGTGATGGTGTTCGCCGTCAGCGTTTTCACTAAAACTGCAATAAAGCTCGATYGGATAATTTGTTATGTTTTTACTGGCTTCCACTGGTTATCGGAGTGAGTTCTCCAAGTCTTAATTTCCCACGAAAAGGCTAAAATTGCAATAATAATATAATAGTAGACAATAATATTAACAACTCGTACATTAATGGCCTGATTTTGGCGTTCCACGTAGCCAAGAATTGTGGTAGGTATGTTTTATTTTTATATTTAAATATTTAATATAACATGCAAAGGGCTTTACACATATTTTC